GTACCGCTCAGCAGCCTTTTCCTTCGTAAGAGAAGAGGCTAACAACGGATGTTGTCGTATACATTGAAACTCATGTTGTTTCAGTATGAGGATACTTTTAGTAGACTCCAACTTTTAGCATGTCAGAAGAAGCTATGCAACCATTGCACAGCCTGTTAGCTGAGATGAGCAGCGCTTTTTTAGTCACTAATCTAGCTTATTTATCGTTGCGGTCACCTCTGTTTCACCACTGAAACGTTTCCTTCTGCAAGATTGTGGTTGAGTTCTACGGCATGGGCAGCGAAACCAAAGTGTATTGGGTGATTGTTCACATTGGCTCGTCTCTGTTAACTGGTTGAAATTTTAATGGTCTGGAAGTCTTCTGAATGTAAATTCGTTCCCATCTGTTACATTGAATAAAATAAGCTACATTTCGTTTGGTTAGTAATGGTGATCAAGTTTCTTATGAAGTAAAGAATCTGCATTCAGACCTTGAGAAAAGAATACACTAAAGCCATGCTTTCCCAGCATCTGTGTTTATTTTTGGATATGCTGTAGATATATGAAATAGTGACAAAGTATTGAAAATGTCTTCAGGGAAATTGAGTGAAAGGCAGAGCTCTTTGTCTAGCCTCTTTGGAAGTCTTTCAGTATATTAAATGTTGGAATAGATGAAGACAGACCAGCTGTCGCGAACAATCATGCAGAACACTTGGGTTTCATTTTCCACGCTTTAGAACATGGCCACGATCTTGTAGAAAAAGACGTTCCAGTGGCTGACTGCGAAGATGATAAAGCGTGATAAAGTGATCACATCTCAGCTAACGAGAACAAACTGTCAGATACTGATAGTGGCTTCTCCTGACATCACTAAGTGGTGATGTTTATTATCCGTTTGTATCAGCTGCGTGACTCTCTGAGTATAATGTTGCCAATTTTCTGCCCCGAATATGGTCACCAAAGCTTTGACAGCTGTGCTATAAAGGTATCGTAACATCAGCTTTTGTGTTGGGCTCAAAATCATTTATTTAGGTACTTAAATAATTTGCCTCTTCTGATTGTTATGTTTATCTCACCGAAATGTCAGGTGGGGAGGGGGGGTGGTGAACGATGGTGACTCGGTGGGTAACTGTTTTGCTAAACGTTTTGGAAGTGCTGGTTCAAACCTCGAGCACACCTCAAAACCTTTTGTTACTGGCTGTTTGCTTCCTTGAACAAAGAACTCGTTTCGTTATATTCTTGTTAGTAAGTCGTTGATTATGAATACAGTGAGCAGTTTAGAGCTCTGATAAGATCATGTGAAATCGACCACAGCGTTATCTCATGCCCTTCTTAATCCAAGTGACAGCTGAATAAAAGTGTGCCGGATAAAATAGATGGGAAACAGATATCGTAAATTCCTCCATTCATGTAGCAGACAACGCGGCCATAAACATTTTTGGGATATTAATGCTGACGGACGCTTCAGTCCGTTTTTTATAGTCTTTATATTACGTAATACCGCCTTTCAATGCAGAAGAACCAATGTTAATTGCGGCCTACGTTTTACCGTGCTTATCTCTTTTGCACGATCCCGAGGTACTTAAACCTGCTTGTAGACGAACTTGAAGTGTCTATGGGTCGTGTTTTCTGGTTATGGAAAATTGGAGGAAGAGTTCGACCTGCGGATTGGAATAGCCAGTGGCGTTCTACGTGAATTAACCCTAACCACTGGGCCATAACAGAAACTAGTCTGATGATTAAGCTCCCGGTGTTCAAGTCGATCTTCATCCCCATGCCTTGCTACGGCCATGAGTCATGGACCATGGCCGATAAACTTTGATATCGGGCAAGCGCCTGAAATGGGTTTTCGCGTCCCGACGTCGTCCGCGATAGAGACGTTCCTGAGAACCTTGGGGTACAGCCACTGCCTTTTCAGATTGAGAAGTCACGGCTACAGTGGTTTGGGCATGTGTTGCAAATGTCTCCAGAAAGATAGGGTAAGCAACCATTTCTTGCCGAGCCAACCGAAAGTTTTTTTTCCAAATCTATGCTTTCTACAGCTGTATATTCCAAGTCCAGCAAAACTTTCTGTGACAAAATATTTTTGTAACAGCATAAGGACTGGAATAAAAGTTTATAGCTTACTCTTTTCCAAGGATGACGTCCATTTGAATATGTTTCTTTAGTTTTGTGAATGTGACAAACAAACATAAATATATCACAATTGTCGAAATAATTGTTGTTTGCTAGTTTATTGCTTCGATGGTGGCATTTGTCGGTTAAGCATGTTGAAGTGTTGTTATTGAAAATTTGCGATTTGCGAGATTCGCTATCTCTCTTCTTCCTGTTACATGTGACAAACTGCAAGAAGAATATTGTTATTTCTTAAATTGATTTATTCCCTGAAAAAGCATTTTTGACATGGTCTTAGACTTGACGGTGTTTAGATTCGCGAAAGGACAGAAAGGAGTTTCCCAATGAGCAAACCGTTGTTGTCTAACTCAGCCGTTCATTCATCAGATTTAGAGGTGTCGAATATTCTTTCGTCTGCTCGGTGGCAGGGTCTTCATCACGAAAGCGACGCAGCGTCATCCCCGGGTAAGAAGCTACCTTTCACTCCTCGGTGGGCGTGACTTGCTTGCTTTCGTTTCAGATTCGACTCGCATGGCTCATGTACTATCGACGGAGATGAAGCCGAGTTCGCGGTCCAGTTCGCGCGCTAGCAGCGATATTCCGAGACCATCGTCGCGGCCGCCGTCCAGAGCCAGCTCAGACGTTTCGGACATCTCGATACACTCCCGAGATTCTCTTGGCAGCAACATTCCGAGCCGTATTCCTTCCGCCCGCAAGAAGCCACGTGGCAAGCCGTAGGCCACACAGCTCTACTGAACGGGCCGGTTGTAATCTCTGTTGTCTCTGAACGATATCGGGGAAGTTGGGCTGGATTTGCCCAGAACGATCACCAAACTTGTGTGATGTGATCATATATTTTCAGCATTACTGCTTTTGTATTGGTGTAAACTGAAATAGTTCTGTTGAGAAATTTATTTCCAAATTGAAAAATACATTCATGCATGACTCGTTGGTCGTTTTGTAAAAATTACTTCATGCTCACGTATCTCGCACAACAACGCATCGTTTTGATATGGTTCGTTCGTTATCACCATGGAACCAGTGAGCTTTCAATAGTAAATAGTTCCTTGCAAGTTTGCCAGTCAGATTCTAGAAGCAGATCTCTGCTTTGTGATCATGCGCCAGTCAGCTCTTTGTCTATAGTATCATCTAGGTTGCAACGCAGGATTTGGCGACACGTGTCCGTTTTCGCACTTTCTTATTTGCCGGCCAAATTTGGTCACTTGAATAAAGGAGTTGTCAGATGCTGAGATAAAACGGCACGCTATTCGCAGTTATGGTGGTCTTCTGCTTTGCATTCTTATCTCTCTACGGTGCCCTTGTCAAATTAGTCATTAAATCGAAGTTTATTCGACGAGCAAAACCTCTTAAACTAAGGATAGAAAGGTGAAGAAGAACCATAATTTCGCAACCATCTGAAATCAAGCAAAGTCACTACTGTCACTGATAGAACGTAAGGACAAGTCAGGCCAGATAAGTGCACTGTCACAGCCTCAACCACGACGTGAATGGCGAGTAAAGCAGCAGTTAAAGGCTTGATGGTCATGTCGTAGCTACCAACGACAACAGTTTGTTTTAGACAAAATACGACCTCGCGCGAAGCACTACCGTTTTCATGTGGCGGCAAGGACAAATGTTTCTTCTTCACCTACTACATTGCCGTCAGAGAAGCCTTATCGATGTACAGACGGAAACATGTCGGACGTTGAACCACTGCTCATGGTCTACCTTCACTATAGTAGGTTCTGCTTTGAAATGGAATGAGGTGGCGTCGCGGAGTTCAATCATGCTGCAATCTGTTAGCCTCCGTCATGCGTTGTGCAAAACATTGTGCAGCATTTTGCGCGCATGGACCTATTGATTAAATTACCACTGCAATGACCTTCGTTATAAGCCATGAATAATGGCTACATAAAGATACAGATTTACAAGCATTCACAAATTTCGGTGAATATTGCCTTCCAGTTCTTAAATTAACTCATCAAAACCTGATAGACTGGTAAATACCACTATGAGCAAATTTTCCATGCCTCTGCTTCTCAATTCCTCAACCATAATACGTGAACTTCTCATTTTCCTCTTGTTCCTTGTCTACTCAAGAAACGAGAAGAAAAAAGCCTCTTCATTTTCGGCACGTTCAAATCGATTCCGTCGCACTCTGCTGCGAACATTGCCAGAGACAGCAACAGATTCGAACAGCCTAATCTTCAACTCTGCATAGCCTACGCTGATGCCCTCTAGATTTTGTCCGCTTCTGATATTCTTCATCTTCCATCGCGCTTTTCCTTTCGGGTCGTAGAGGCAGACACGTCAGACAGCGCTTCCAACATTCCCGATCCTGTGCCAGATTCTGAGCTTCGGCAAATGACAAATGCAGTCTGGAACAGACTCCTTCCATATGTTTGCACCAGATTAATCTTGGTCGTCCTCTGGGCCTTCTGCCGGTCGAATTTGCAAGGAACAATTGCTTGGCCTTCCTTTCTGGAGGCATTCGCAACACACGCCCAAGCCATCGCAGCTGCGACTTCTCAATCTGGAGAAGCAAAGGCTGTATTCCAAGGCTCTTCCGGAT